AGTGCAGCTCAACCAGGTCTCGTCCCATTCGTCGATATTTGTGATATCACAAATCCCGGAAAATATGCGTTGTAGTCCAAACGAGTCATTCGTTGTAGTTTTTGAAAAGTGATTTCTGTTAAATAAAATATCTCCTTTTGAATTGGACTTTGAGCTTTGTAACTTTGCAGATTTTTTTTATGCTCAAACAGCAATGTTACAGACTAACTCAAGTTGAAAATGTGAAAAAGCATGATAGGACCCTTTTAAGTGCAAGTAAAGTATTAAGCGCGTTTATTTTTTTTATATATATATTTTATTTTGTTATTTTCTATGAAATATTTCATTCTTTTCAGACGGGTGAATTTAGACGGCAGCAATATGGAATCTGTGATCAGTCAGGGTCTGAAGACGACTGATGGACTTGCTGTTGACTGGGTGTCACGTAACATGTACTGGACAGACACCGGCCGTAACACCATAGAAGTGGCTCACTTAGATGGTACGTCTCGGAAAGTTCTGGTGAATAACAGTCTGGATGAACCAAGAGCCATCGCTGTGTTTCCTAGCAAGGGGTGAGAACAGCAAACTAATTATCAGTTCATTGCGGTTTTGTTGCTTTATGCATTTTCTCTGTGAAGAGAAAATTAATCCTGAAAAGTATATAAAACCTTTAGTCTGTTTCTAAAAGGACTGTTTTACCCAATGTTTGTAGTTTGTATACGTTTTCTATGTACTTGTATATTATTTATATTTATTGTATATTTATTACTATTATTATTTTATATAGGCAGGTGGTGCTGGAGAGGAGGAGGGCTAAAGAAAATATATAAAAATGTAACATTAGGTTTTATTACATTTTGTTTTTTACGATTACACATTTTATTATTACAATTTCTTTATGCATCATTAAAACTCATACATAGCCTACATTTTTACATTGTGGGAGGGGGAGAGATATACTGTTTGACTTTAAAGTAAATTAGCTACAATTAGTTACAAAATATCGAAATAAGTGGTATCTGCAGACAAATGATTTTAGAGCTTTTCTGAGTATTACCTTTTCTGAGCCACTTCTCAGTGATCTTTAGCCAATTGATCTAATTATTCATGAATAACTGAAATCAGTTCCCAACGATTTTTAACAGAATAAACACCAGTGTAGTTCATCACATCACTCCTTTAAGCCCTTAAAGTTTGACAGCCAGAGAGTGTGTAAGACTTTTGTCTTCATTTTGAACAATATTTTTACAGCTTCATGTTTTAAAATCCAACAAACTTTTTCATGAAACGTTTTGATTGCAAAGACAGAACCCATGTGATGTGAAGTGGCTGCTTCTGCAAAGTGGATTACAATTGTCAAATGTTCACCTAGTTATGGATTATCCTGCTTATACCATCGTCACTTGCTAGCATGCACAACCTAAAACTGTATTGGACAGATACAAATAATGGTTTATTTTTATTAGTTATGTTGTCTATGGGTAGTTGAGTCTAGAATTCTGAAGTCAGAATAAAGTAACACTGTAAGATTGCATTTATTTGAATGAATGTGAGCGTGAGAGGGAAGGGAACTTATGTAGTTACTTTATAATTACTAATGAATGCGTTTCATCATTTTATTTCTTTGGCAAGGTTCTTGTTCTGGACAGATTGGGGTCACATTGCAAAGATTGAGCGTGCTTACCTGGATGGCACAGACAGGAAAGTCCTCATCAACACAGATCTGGGATGGCCAAACGGCTTGACGCTGGACTATGACACCCGCAGGTAAAAGCGGAAAATTAATTCAAAAGAGTGGGGAGTTATGATAATGATATTGTTGGAAGCTGATAGACATGTGCAAAATGGACCTCCAACCCATATTAACCAAATTCTGATCCACTGTTAGGCCACAAACACACTGCAGACTGATGGTTGTCACTGTCGATTACATAATGCCATTCTCAGTCAGTTATGGAAGGTGACGACTGCATTCTATGACCAAATGAACTCCACATATGTTAAATCCACATATGTTCAACCATTCAGTTGTTAAGATTAACAGCTATAAAAGGTAGCTTACATATTGTATTCAAGTCACTGTTGTACAAACAATGTCAATCCTCTTTCTTGTTCTCAAGCTAGCCACAAATAACTGTAGTGTAATAACAGTGACAGAACTGTATGGATTTTTTGGCACAGTGTCTGAACAAAATCAAACTGGAACCTCAATTTTTGTAATATCAACTTCAAATTTTAAATATTTAAAACTTTAGAGATATGAATTTGATTGTATGGCAATTTTAGATTCCAAAATATTTATTCTATATACGGTACTCAACATTTAAAGTGGATCAAAAAAGTTAATCAAAGTTGTCCTAAGACAAGAACGGGTGTAGTTTTGGTTTTAGGACAACTTTGATGAAAGGTTTTGATCCACTTCAAATGTTGACTACTGTAAAAATGTACGTTGAAATGCTTTCACTTTAGCAATAATCTGCTGATTGTCTTCTTTAAACGTTTGACAGTTAAGAGCTTAAACAGTATTTAGACATGTCCCAAATGTTATTGAAAAATAAAACGGCTGATATAATCTTTAGTTTGACCTCCATTTTTGGGGGGGCATCTCTTATTTTTCCGCTTTGTTCATTTGCTCTAAAAATGGCTTCTTTTAAGCATTTCAGACACTATTTTGTACCATAATCATGGCAAGTACCTTCAAACATTTTGGAGAACACATAACTGAAACTTCACGTGATTTCATGTATAGGATCTTTTGGGTGGATGCACACTTGGACCGCATAGAAAGTTCTGACTTGAATGGAAAACTGCGTCAAATTCTCATCAGCCCCGTATCACACCCGTTTGCCCTCACGCAGGTACCTTTCCATATCTGATCCTCACCCTCACTTAATCTGTCACTCACCTGCACCTTCATCACCCTCCGCTCCACTGACCCATCCTCTCATTCACATGTCTCTGCATTTATAACCTTAGCATGTTGTTCTCTTCTTTTGCATCTTTCCATTTTCTGACCCTCCTTTTTCTTCCCATCTTTCCTTCTCTGCCCCTTTTTTTTACCCCCTTTCTTTGTCCCCAGTTGAAACCGGTATACTCTCCTTTAACTCCTTTTTCCCGAATCTCACAGCAAGACCGTTGGATTTACTGGACGGACTGGCAGACCAAGTCTATTCAGCGAGTAGATAAGCATACAGGTCGTAGTAAGGAAACCGTGCTGGCTAATGTAGAGGGCCTCATGGACATCATAGTGGTGTCGCCACAAAGACAGACTGGTAAGATTGACTTGTTGAGACTCCACTGAAGAGTCTACAAGTGTTCTTTATTTTTACTCTAATGCACAACGCACACTTTGAAGGGATTTTGTGATATACCATTTGAATTTGAATTATTATTAAAACAAGACACTACAGGTAAATAAAGAGTAAACTAATAACTAATAGATGCTACCAAACTTCTCTATTTGATTAATTGCAGTGAATTAAGACTATTGTTTTGTATCAAATGTTTTATGAAATGTTTAAATGTGCAATTGGTGCATTATATGATTAAATATGCACTAATTTCCAGAACATAAATCTGAACATTAGATAAAGCTAGGTTCAAATATTTATTTTTTTATTTTTTTACAAAGGAGATTTTGGATATCTCTATTTATCACTCCATAAGTTATGCAGAAATTACCAAAAAACGATGTTTAATAAATAATTGAATAATATAATATATAATATTTAAATCCTGTCTGTCATCCAATACAATGTTCCCAACACTGGTCCTAGAGGCACTCAACACTGCACATTTTGTTTGTCGTCTTATTAAAACAAACTAAATTAAATTCTCACAACAAATTCATTAGCTCATTTGAAGAGAAGTCCTGGAATGCGTTCATCAGAGAAGAAAGATGTCCAAAATGTGTCCTTTGTATGCTTATGTGCAATTACATTTCAAGTAATTATACGAAATATTAATGTCGCACACAAACAAGTGTATAGACAAGTTTTATCATATGTAATGTGTTTTTTAAGCATTTTGTGTCCAGTAATATTTTCAAGATAGTCACTGATATACAAACATTGAGCATGTGTGATGAAGAAATGTTACCATTGTCACTGAAACAAATGTATCCGTAAGATTTACTTACTGTCTTTCTAGGAACAAATCATTGCGGTGTGAATAATGGGGGCTGCACACACTTGTGTCTTGCGCGGAGTAACAGTTTTGTGTGCGCATGTCCAGATGAGCCTGACGGCAGACCTTGCTCTACAAGTGAGTTCAACATGTGCAATTATTATTTTCAAGAAATCGCTGTTAAACACTGAGAAGTTACACAAATTAACATATTCATGACATGACTGTTTACATCTACCAGTTTACCATCAGTGTAATTGTAATATTATTTGTATGATTATTGTATTTAATAATATTTTGGGGTATTTTTTTTATTTAAGTTTTAGCAATTTTCTAATGTGCTTTTGTCATTTTTATAAATTTTGGGGGGTTTTTTAAATTCAGATTTTTGTTTCAGTTTTAGTCAATTTAATACTTCAACTTAAAATAATTTTATTTCCGTTAGGCGCCATTTATAAAGTGTTTATAAGTTTAACGTTTTTCATGTGATATCCCATTTTTTATATATCAGATTTATTTCAGATGACAATTCAGTTTTTAAATAGTTTTAGCTTTACATACTTCACTAATTACCATAACCCAATTAAGCCAATATTCAGTTTTCTAGAAATCTTTTTAATTTTATGTAAACACCCTCATTAAGAATATCCATTGCAAGTGAATATTTATCTATATTTGCATGTCTTTATTATTAATTACTAATAAATTTGCATAAATAGTAATTTATTAGTAATTATGTATTAGCTTTTGTTATTTCTAATTCTATTTAGCTTTAGTTGATTACGATTCCAACATTAATTATCAACCAGATTAAACCAATATTCTGTTATCTACAAATTTGAATAATAATATGCCTATATGAATCAGAATTTAGGCCTATGTGAACACCCTCATTCAGATTTATTTCTCTTTCATTTGCATGCCTTTATTCATTAATTTCAGTTTTAGTAATTTAAGTACTTAATTTCAGTTCATTATAAAGGTTTTTTTATGTAATGTTTACATTTTATTTCAGTATTTTACATTTAATTTTTTCAATTCATAATTAAGTTTTTTAAATTGTATTTAATGAGTGCAACACTGATTATCATAACCAGATTAAGCCAGTATTCCGTTTTCTAGAAATGTTAATAATATGCCCGCACGAGTCAGAATTTTGGCCTAAATAAGCATCTTTCCATTGCAAGTGAATAATAATTGCATGTCTTTATTATTAATTACAAAATAAAAAATATCATACTGTAAATAGAGTCTGTAATATTCCAATTCTGTTTCTGGACTAGTCTCTGGTTACATTCCCACGGCACCTGAGAAGGACTCCAAAGCTACTCAAGCCCCCAAAAAACACCCCACAGAGAAACCTCATCAGGGCCTGTCAGGGGTCAAGTAAGTCAACTGCAGCTACCCAATCAAAAAAAAATCAAAAAAAAAAAAGGTTTTCATTAAGAATTAAGTGAAATATTGTCAGTAAAATCCAATCATGTTCTCCTCGCAGCTGTACAGATGCAAGTCTCAATCTAGAGGACTGCATCCAGAACAATGTGGTGTCTGCACCTCGGGGTAAATAATTACAACTCAGATTTTAAATAGTTGTATAAGAGTAAATCAAGCATGAATTGACCATTTGCATGTATCTTTATGAAGATGAGAGCCCTCATATCAGCTACGTGATTGGTGGAGCTCTGTCAATACTGGCCATCCTGATACTCATCGCTGCATTCATTATTTACAGGTAAGGTTTAAAGAAGCACTTTATGAATGCATTACTTTTCTCAGCTGCTCAAGATGAATATTTGATTATGTTGTTATGGTTGCTTTCCAGGCACAAAAAATTCAAGTTTGCAGATCCAGGAGTGAGCAACTTGACTTACAGCAACCCTTCATACAGAACTTCAACGCAGGAGGTTAAAATAGAGACCGCACAGAAACCTGCAATAAACAACCAGCTGCGATATAAAAAAGAGGTATTGCTTATCGTTCTTGTCTTTGAAGATTTCGCAAAAGAATCATTTAGATGTGCTGTTGTTGTTCGACTTCAGCCATGACTGATATAATTGTTCTCATCAAGATGAATTGGTTTTATATTTTTCGTGAGTCTCAGATCCCGCTCATCTTTTTTTCCCCCATGTTTTTCTTCATGACAGCTCAATCATCCTTACAACTCCCTTTCTCCTTTCATCTTTTGACATCCCCTCTTTTATTTTCATCAGAATGGCAAACAAGGTAGTTCAACAAATTGGGAAAATATTGCTTCCCATATTTAAAGTCAGCCGTGTGATTTTGACCCAACCGCTTGATCTCAAATCCAGCATCTTTTTCTTCTTGCATGTAATCAGATTTTTGCATTAGAGTGCAAAAAAAAGATAGCGTTTATAGCTGTTGCAATTTGTTAAAATGATAATACATTGTTATAGGCTTGTTTCTTAGTTTATTCTGCCTGAGGTTGCATGAATTGTGAACATTGCCTGTGAAGTTGTTGTTTTTTGTGTGTGTGTGTGTGTGTGTGTTTCTTAATGCCATAAAAAGTGCTGTACTGCTTTAAAATCAACATGAAGTTCCCCAACCAGTCAGTGCATCACATTATAGAAGTAAAATGGGCTGTGAGTGCAGTTTCATGTTGACTCGATGAGTGTAATTCTAATACAATATATACAATGTATACTACTATGTACTGTATACATAACTATACTACTAACATTAGTGAAAAAGATGTGTGCTTAATTGTATCGAATAGAATGTGCATGTGAACTTGATTTATAATTTTAACTGTGTTGTTCAGTATTAAATTTAAAGTTAATTTATTTTAAATATACAAAATTTCAGCTTCATCATACAAATGTGAAATTACAAATACGAGTTTCAATAGAAATGGCATTGGAGTATATTCCAGTTTACCATAAATGTTTGTTGGTACAACTAGCTATAAACTTTAATCACATTTTTAAAACAATAGAAGTAATCCAAGATTAGGATGAGTTTGTTTCTTCATCAGGTTTGGAGAAATGTAGCACTGCATCAGTGTCTCAGCAGTGGATGCTCTGCAGTGAATGGGTGCCGTCAGAATGAGAGTCCAAACAGCTGATAAAAACATCACAATAATCCACACCACTCCAGTCCATCAGTTAACATCTGGAGAAGCCAAAAGCTGTGTGTTTATAAGAAACAAATCCATCATTATACGTTTTAACTTTAAACCTTTGCTTCCGGCTAAAATATGAGTCCATAATCCATAATAATGCTTCCTCCAATGAAAAAGTGCATCTGCTGTTGTATCTCACATCAAAGTCACCCCATATATTTGTTTAGAGCTGTTTTTGCTTGTAAACTGTGCTTGATCTGTGCGGATTTCTCTCCTGATTAAGACGAAATGACTTTCAATGGAGAAATCAATATTATGGATAGAGGACTCGTATTTTAGCCAAAAGCGATTGTTCAAAGTTAAAAACGTCTTAATGATGGATTTGTTTCTTACAAACACACAGCTTTTGTCTTCTCCAGATGTTAACTGATGGACTGGAGTGGTGTAGATTACTTGTGGATTATTGTGATGTTTTTATCAGCTGTTTGGACTCTCATTCTGACGGCACCCATTCACTGCAGAGCATCCATTGCTGAGACACTGATGCAATGCTGCATTTCTCCAAATCTGATGAAACAACAAACTAATTTACATCTTGGATGGCCTGAGGGAGAGTACATTTACATTTTTGGGTGAACTAGTCCTTTGTGGGTCAAAAGCACTCTAAAATTCAACTAATTGCATTTAATATAAATTCAAATAATAATAATTTTTTTTAACATTCGATTGCAATTAACATGCAGTTAAGTGTCTGAAAACATTGCATGCATTTTATGCTTGTATATGTTCTTTTAAATTAATTATTTTCATATTAAGTACTTTTTTTTTTTTTTTTTAAGTATGCTAAAATGCACTTCTTTTTCACAGTAATTACAGTCAAACCAAAATGTATTCAGACACCTTCAACATTTTTCACATTATCGCAGTTTATTCGCTATAGTTTAGAAAATGGTAATAAAATATGACGAGTTAAACTGTGTCAGAACAAATTCATCTTGATTATGTCAGATAACTTTGATAGAAAGGTATGTAATGAATTCAGTGAATAGCGGTCAGCTGTTAAATTTAAGTACACAAATAGATAATTAAAATGAAGGTCAACCAATTACCAAGCAATGCTTAATTTAGTTTAGTCTGTGGTGTAAAAAGGTCACATTAGCAATTAAAGAAAAACACTTAAGCAAAAACATGGTCAGGTCAAAGTGTCTGAATATTTTTTTTATCCAAATTTTACTGGTAGTTCACTGTATGAAGAATTTTTGGGTATAATTTCACAGTTTACTTTATTTTGCTATCCTCACTTACATAAATGAACTATAGTGTCCTGCACCCACTAGTAAAAATTATATGTGACCCTGCAGCACAAAACCAGTCGTAAGTCGCTTATAGCAATAGCCAAAAAAGCATTAAATGGGTCAAAATTATCTATTTTTATTTTATGCAAAAAATCTTTAGGATATTAAGTAAAGATCATGTTCCATGAAGATATTTAGTAAATTTTCTAGCATAAATATATCAAAACTTAATTTTTGATTAGTAATATGCATTGCTAAGAACTTAATTTGGACAACTTTAAAGATGATTTTCTCAATATTTAGATTTTTTTGCACCCTCAGATTCCAGATTTTCAAATAGTTGTATCTCGGCCAAATATTGTCCTATCCTAACAAACCATACATTTATTCAGCTTTCAGATGATATATATAAATCTCAATTTCGAAAAAATTTACCCTTATGACTGGTTTTGTGGTCCAGGGTCACATATATCAAAAATTATATCTGGTGTCTGAATAATTTTTGATTTGACTGTATGTCTGCCAAATGTAATCTCACTTCAAATGCTGTCTGTAGGTCCAGGGCGTTTGTGATGGAGGCTACACTAAAGAGAAGATCCACATCGTGGAAGGCGTGTGTCTGCTCTCAGGAGAGGATCTTTACTGGGAAGACTTGAGACAGTTGAAGGTGTGTCGAGGAGCCGGGCTTCACGCCTGTATGCGTACAGAGACCGTCTCGCTACAGGCGAGCTCCGCCTCTCTGAACGACGGAGAGACCGAACAGCTGCTGCAAGGCGACCAATCAGAGTGCTCGAGTCTTAGCACCGCCCACGCTGTGACGGCTCAGCATCACAGCGCACATCCCGACACCGGCTGGGTCCCCAACCGTAAAGCCTCTACTGAGAGCGAAGTGTGAAACTCTACTAACAAACACGGTCAACATGGGGGCAGAAACTTCTGACTAGAAAAAGGCTTGAATACACACTGTTATTAGAAGTCAGACAGGTAGGTACAGTCATATGGACTATATATATATATATATATATATATATATATATACTAGTGCTGTCAAACGATTAATCGCATTCAAAATAAAAGTTTTTATTATATATTTTATATAATATAATCATAATATGTGTGTGTATGTACTGTTTATGTATATATAAATACAAACACATGCATGTGTATATTTAAGAAAAATTTTTATGTTTATATTTTAAATCTATATGAAGAGTTAATTTGCAAAAACAGATAACTCAAAAGTTTTCAAAATCTAGTTTCTTTTAATTGTGCATTTATTCCAATTCTGTTTCTGGACTAGTCTCTGGTTACATTCCCACGGCACCTGAGAAGGACTCCAAAGCTACTCAAGCCCCCAAAAAACACCCCACAGAGAAACCTCATCAGGGCCTGTCAGGGGTCAAGTAAGTCAACTGCAGCTACCCAATCAAAAAAAAATCAAAAAAAAAAAAGGTTTTCATTAAGAATTAAGTGAAATATTGTCAGTAAAATCCAATCATGTTCTCCTCGCAGCTGTACAGATGCAAGTCTCAATCTAGAGGACTGCATCCAGAACAATGTGGTGTCTGCACCTCGGGGTAAATAATTACAACTCAGATTTTAAATAGTTGTATAAGAGTAAATCAAGCATGAATTGACCATTTGCATGTATCTTTATGAAGATGAGAGCCCTCATATCAGCTACGTGATTGGTGGAGCTCTGTCAATACTGGCCATCCTGATACTCATCGCTGCATTCATTATTTACAGGTAAGGTTTAGCGAAGCATGAATTAATTCCATTTCTCAGCTGCTCAAAATAAGATGAATACTAGGAGTTGTCATTATTTTTTGCTTTCCAGGCACAAAAAATTCAAGTTTGCAGATCCAGGAGTGAGCAACTTGACTTACAGCAACCCTTCATACAGAACTTCAACGCAGGAGGTTAAAATAGAGACCGCACAGAAACCTGCAATAAACAACCAGCTGCGATATAAAAAAGAGGTATTGCTTATCGTTCTTGTCTTTGAAGATTTCGCAAAAGAATCATTTAGATGTGCTGTTGTTGTTCGACTTCAGCCATGACTGATATAATTGTTCTCATCAAGATGAATTGGTTTTATATTTTTCGTGAGTCTCAGATCCCGCTCATCTTTTTTTCCCCCATGTTTTTCTTCATGACAGCTCAATCATCCTTACAACTCCCTTTCTCCTTTCATCTTTTGACATCCCCTCTTTTATTTTCATCAGAATGGCAAACAAGGTAGTTCAACAAATTGGGAAAATATTGCTTCCCATATTTAAAGTCAGCCGTGTGATTTTGACCCAACCGCTTGATCTCAAATCCAGCATCTTTTTCTTCTTGCATGTAATCAGATTTTTGCATTAGAGTGCAAAAAAAAGATAGCGTTTATAGCTGTTGCAATTTGTTAAAATGATAATACATTGTTATAGGCTTGTTTCTTAGTTTATTCTGCCTGAGGTTGCATGAATTGTGAACATTGCCTGTGAAGTTGTTGTTTTTTGTGTGTGTGTGTGTGTGTGTGTTTCTTAATGCCATAAAAAGTGCTGTACTGCTTTAAAATCAACATGAAGTTCCCCAACCAGTCAGTGCATCACATTATAGAAGTAAAATGGGCTGTGAGTGCAGTTTCATGTTGACTCGATGAGTGTAATTCTAATACAATATATACAATGTATACTACTATGTACTGTATACATAACTATACTACTAACATTAGTGAAAAAGATGTGTGCTTAATTGTATCGAATAGAATGTGCATGTGAACTTGATTTATAATTTTAACTGTGTTGTTCAGTATTAAATTTAAAGTTAATTTATTTTAAATATACAAAATTTCAGCTTCATCATACAAATGTGAAATGACAAATACGAGTTTCAATAGAAATGGCATTGGAGTATATTCCAGTTTACCATAAATGTTTGTTGGTACAACTAGCTATAAACTTTAATCACATTTTTAAAACAATAGAAGTAATCCAAGATTAGGATGAGTTTGTTTCTTCATCAGGTTTGGAGAAATGTAGCACTGCATCAGTGTCTCAGCAGTGGATGCTCTGCAGTGAATGGGTGCCGTCAGAATGAGAGTCCAAACAGCTGATAAAAACATCACAATAATCCACACCACTCCAGTCCATCAGTTAACATCTGGAGAAGCCAAAAGCTGTGTGTTTATAAGAAACAAATCCATCATTATACGTTTTAACTTTAAACCTTTGCTTCCGGCTAAAATATGAGTCCATAATCCATAATAATGCTTCCTCCAATGAAAAAGTGCATCTGCTGTTGTATCTCACATCAAAGTCCCCCCATATATTTGTTTAGAGCTGTTTTTGCTTGTAAACTGTGCTTGATCTGTGCGGATTTCTCTCCTGATTAAGACGAAATGACTTTCAATGGAGAAATCAATATTATGGATAGAGGACTCGTATTTTAGCCAAAAGCGATTGTTCAAAGTTAAAAACGTCTTAATGATGGATTTGTTTCTTACAAACACACAGCTTTTGTCTTCTCCAGATGTTAACTGATGGACTGGAGTGGTGTAGATTACTTGTGGATTATTGTGATGTTTTTATCAGCTGTTTGGACTCTCATTCTGACGGCACCCATTCACTGCAGAGCATCCATTGCTGAGACACTGATGCAATGCTGCATTTCTCCAAATCTGATGAAACAACAAACTAATTTACATCTTGGATGGCCTGAGGGAGAGTACATTTACATTTTTGGGTGAACTAGTCCTTTGTGGGTCAAAAGCACTCTAAAATTCAACTAATTGCATTTAATATAAATTCAAATAATAATAATTTTTTTTAACATTCGATTGCAATTAACATGCAGTTAAGTGTCTGAAAACATTGCATGCATTTTATGCTTGTATATGTTCTTTTAAATTAATTATTTTCATATTAAGTACTTTTTTTTTTTTTTTTTAAGTATGCTAAAATGCACTTCTTTTTCACAGTAATTACAGTCAAACCAAAATGTATTCAGACACCTTCAACATTTTTCACATTATCGCAGTTTATTCGCTATAGTTTAGAAAATGGTAATAAAATATGACGAGTTAAACTGTGTCAGAACAAATTCATCTTGATTATGTCAGATAACTTTGATAGAAAGGTATGTAATGAATTCAGTGAATAGCGGTCAGCTGTTAAATTTAAGTACACAAATAGATAATTAAAATGAAGGTCAACCAATTACCAAGCAATGCTTAATTTAGTTTAGTCTGTGGTGTAAAAAGGTCACATTAGCAATTAAAGAAAAACACTTAAGCAAAAACATGGTCAGGTCAAAGTGTCTGAATTATTTTTTTATCCAAATTTTACTGGTAGTTCACTGTATGAAGAATTTTTGGGTATAATTTCACAGTTTACTTTATTTTGCTATCCTCACTTACATAAATGAACTATAGTGTCCTGCACCCACTAGTAAAAATTATATGTGACCCTGCAGCACAAAACCAGTCGTAAGTCGCTTATAGCAATAGCCAAAAAAGCATTAAATGGGTCAAAATTATCTATTTTTATTTTATGCAAAAAATCTTTAGGATATTAAGTAAAGATCATGTTCCATGAAGATATTTAGTAAATTTTCTAGCATAAATATATCAAAACTTAATTTTTGATTAGTAATATGCATTGCTAAGAACTTAATTTGGACAACTTTAAAGATGATTTTCTCAATATTTAGATTTTTTTGCACCCTCAGATTCCAGATTTTCAAATAGTTGTATCTCGGCCAAATATTGTCCTATCCTAACAAACCATACATTTATTCAGCTTTCAGATTATATATATAAATCTCAATTTCGAAAAAATTTACCCTTATGACTGGTTTTGTGGTCCAGGGTCACATATATCAAAAATTATATCTGGTGTCTGAATAATTTTTGATTTGACTGTATGTCTGCCAAATGTAATCTCACTTCAAATGCTGTCTGTAGGTCCAGGGCGTTTGTGATGGAGGCTACACTAAAGAGAAGATCCACATCGTGGAAGGCGTGTGTCTGCTCTCAGGAGAGGATCTTTACTGGGAAGACTTGAGACAGTTGAAGGTGTGTCGAGGAGCCGGGCTTCACGCCTGTATGCGTACAGAGACCGTCTCGCTACAGGCGAGCTCCGCCTCTCTGAACGACGGAGAGACCGAACAGCTGCTGCAAGGCGACCAATCAGAGTGCTCGAGTCTTAGCACCGCCCACGCCGTGACGGCTCAGCATCACGGCGCGCATCCCGACACCGGCTGGGTCCCCAACCGTAAAGCCTCTACTGAGAGCGAAGTGTGAAACTCTACTAACAAACACGGTCAACATGGGGGCAGAAACTTCTGACTAGAAAAAGGCTTGAATACACACTGTTATTAGAAGTCAGACAGGTAGGTACAGTCATATGGACTATATATATATATATATATATATATATATATATACTAGTGCTGTCAAACGATTAATCGCATTCAAAATAAAAGTTTTTATTATATATTTTATATAATATAATCATAATATGTGTGTGTATGTACTGTTTATGTATATATAAATACAAACACATGCATGTGTATATTTAAGAAAAATTTTTATGTTTATATTTTAAATCTATATGAAGAGTTAATTTGCAAAAACAGATAACTCAAAAGTTTTCAAAATCTAGTTTCTTTTAATTGTGCATTCCAATGAATCTCCATCAAACTGCAGTTGGGTTATTTTGATTAGGTTAAAAATAACAAAAAATTACAGCTAACTAACACAATAAAAATATGATGACATAATAAAAAACATGATTTTTTTTAATAGTTATCTGTTTTTGCAAATAAACTCTTCATTTATATTATATAAGAATATAAATGTATATACATGTAAATATTTTCAAAATATACACTGTATGTGTGTGTATTTATAGCCTATATGAAGAGTTCATTTGCAAAATCAGATAACTCTATTTTTAACCATTTTCAAAAATCATGTTTTTTAATTGTGCATTCCAATTAATCTCAATCAAACTGCAGTTGGGTTATTTTGATTAGGTAAAAAAATAGCAAAGAAATACAGCAAACTAACACAATAAAACACAATAAAAACATAACATAATAAAAAAGCATGATTTTTTTGCAAATGAACTCTTCATATACATAAATATACACAGTACACATACTTATATATGTAAACAAAAACTTTTATTTTGGATGTGATTAATCACGATTAATCGTTTGACAGCATTAATATATACATGTATGTACTTAAGCAACTGACACAGAGGAAAGCTAATGCATACATACACCAACAGCCAAATTAACTGTAAATAGATTTGAGACAGACCTTGTACTTGAAAGTTTCCTTTGCATTATTCTAAACGTGAATAATACACATATAAAGACGGTACGGAGACATTCGTGCACACAAACCCTCCATCATCTCGCTCCGTTCATCTGGATCGCCTCTCCTCTCCTTTCGGACTACGCAACAGCTTCTTTGTAAACTACGGAGAAGGACGAAGCTCGCTGGAGTCAGAAGGAAAAAGAAAGAGTCTGACAGATATTTTGAGCCTTTTTTGTAACCGAGAGAAACTCTTTGAAGTAAATGCTTTTTGTTTCGAATGCGAGCTCATGTTTTCTCGGACTGTCGGGTTAGTAAACGCTCTCGCGAGGTGTGTCAGCATCCAGCCCTCATCTTGCCACGGTGATATGTATTTATGAACGTTCTGTACTTTGGATTGAGTTTTTAACCTTTTCGTCTTTTGAAGTAGTTTTAAAAGCATCAGGACTGTTGAAAGACTCGTTCACACACACACACACACACACACACACACACACACACGTTTGTGATGGTGCCAAAGGACAGAATTCACACACTCATGAAGAATCTGCTTTTCAGTTACACTGAACATTTCTAATAAATTACAGTCCATTTTAAAGAGTATTACAGTTATATTGTCAAGGATGAAGCTAGTTTTATATATATATATATATATATGTATATGTATATGTATATATATATGTACACCGGGTGTCAGAGGTTTGGAATAATTACGTTTTTTTTTTATGCGTCTAAGGTCATTTCACAAAGGCTGCATTTATTACAATTATTACGATTTTAAAGAACTGCTTTCTATTGTAATATCTGTTCAAATGTAATTTATTGCTGTGATCAAAGCTGTATTTTCAGCATCATTCCTCCAGTCTTCAGTGTCACATGATCTTCAGAAATCATTCTGATATGCTGGTTTGCTGCTCAAGTTTCTTATCGAAGTTGAAAACACATTTTCTGTCATTAAAATATCTGGGCTAAAAGAAAGAAAAGAAACGAATGGTTTTATTCAGCCAGGATGCGTTCAATTGATCAAAAGTGACATTTATAATGTTACAAAAGATTTCTATTTCAAATAAATGCTGTTCTTTTGAACTTTCTATTCATCAAAGAGTCCTAAAAACAAAATGCGTCACGGTTTCCACAAAGATATTAAGTAGCACAACTGTTTTCAACATTTATAATAAGAATCGCTATTAATATTTGAGCACCAATAGTAATAGTATTAAATACTGCCTTCGAGAAACGGTAAATAATGTTAATTTTTCCAAACTTTTGACCGGTAGCATCACATATATGTGACCCTAGAGCACAAAACCAGTCATAAGGGTCAATTTTTCGAAATTGGTTTATATGGTTTGTTATGATAGGCCAATATTTAGCCGAGATACAACTATTAGAAAATCTGGAATCTGAGGGTGCAAAAAAATCAAAATATTGAGAAAATCATCTTTAAAGTTGTTCAAATGAAGTTCTTAGCAATGCATATTACTAATCAAACATTAAGTTTTGATATATTTACGGTAGGAAATTTACAAAATATCTTCACGGAACATGATCTTTACTTAATATCCTAATGATTTTTGGCAGAAAAGAGAAATATCATTTTGACCCATACAATGTATTGTTGGCTATTGCTACAAATATCCCCCAGCGACTCAACACTGCTTTTGTGCTCCAGGGTCACAATTATGTATATACATATGGTACATGGTTCTGGCTTTTCTTATTTTAAAAATATGTTCAGAGTTGATTTAGCAACCAAAACAAACAACAGTCAAGCAGAATCTGTAAAGCACCTTGCACTTGCACATGATTTAGCCGTTTATGAAATGATAAGGCTATGCTAATGTGTAAGTGAATGCGACTGACCGAGTGAACGTCTCAGGATCATGTCCAGGTCATGTTTACCCCAAAATGAAAAGAAATAAGATGCCGTTTTGTTCAAATTTGTAGGAGTAAGCCCATTATTTCTCATTACCGTAATGCAAATAATAATAATAGATTCTCATTATTGTAATATATTTGAATTGTAAAGTATTTATACATCATGGTAGTGTTTTTGTATTGCCTTTATGCTGATTTAAATCATTTTACTTACTGTAATACGATAAATAAAAAAAAATACTGTATTTTAATTCATTAGAATCCAGTATGAGATTTATTTAGGATGATGAGCTTGAGAACGTATTTAAAGTTCATGAAAATAATAATATAAATATTCTAAAATAGACTTTTAATGCGATTAGTTTCTTTTTATTTTGGGTCGAGCTTGACTTGGACGTGTGTTTTGTGAGATTGACCTCTATATGTGGAAATTCTTATGATGCTTTCGGATTTGTTTTGTACAGGTTTATTTTCTGTAAAGTTTCTTTGAGGATTGTTATGAACCCATATGTGTTTGAGTTCTCAAAAGCACCTTGGAGGAAGTTCTCCAGGGTTCAGGACTAGGTTTTTGCTGCTAAACACATGGCGCATTCAGGCCACACAGTAGTTTATTGGTCTTGGCAGCTCAGATTGTTGGCTGACGAGGCAAGCGGAGATGATCGCGGTTTAGTTCCTCTTCCTCCCCTCCTTGTTTGTCAGATTTTCACAATGTGTACAGAGTCTTTTGAACAAACATGCATTCATTTTATTCATTTAAATTATATAACCACTTCATTTGTTTGTAGGGTTGGTGCCAGTTATTCCTTTTTTCTTTTTCTTTCCCCAGTCACTGCTGTAAGTTAACTAAGATATATTTATAATTTTCATTGGTTGTAACTTGTATGTAAATATGAAGATGCTGTATATGTAGTTCTCCTTTGCGATACTAACAAGCTGTGTGTGACAGTGATTTACTTTGCTTTTTTCTATCTTTAATATAAAACTGCATTTGCTTTTGAATACAAATATGGTACTTTTTTTGGGGTCGCTTTCTTTTAAAGGTAGCCTACTGCATGCAGTATATTACACGTTTTAAATTTTGTAAAACATTTATTACATTTTACAACACAATTCACAGATTTCTATAAATCTACCAGCTGTATACTTCTGTGTTAGAAGTAACATTGTGAAAAACAACTTCATAAACTTGAATTTAATACAATATATGGGAGAATTAGCTTACTAGCCTACCTGTTATGGTAAGACTTGTAAGACTATAATCTGCTGTATTTGAAATATGAGCACACCTCAGTTTTAGTGCTTTAATATTTCTAAATTTACATAATCGTAGGGTGCCAGTTTCTTTAAGCTGTCATGACTCATGAACAGGCTATGTTTCAATCAAAACTTGTACAAATTTATCAAAATTGATTTCTCTTTCAGTTTTAATAAAATACTTATTAGCTGATAAGAACAATCTTCAGTCAGGTAGCCTATTTTAAGGCAGTGATATTCATTAACATTATAAAGTCTTTTTTTTCTTAGCTACGGTTTGCTCACAAAATCTAGTAGCTGTAAGCTTTTGTTCGTGTTAATAACACAAGCATGAAATTGATATGATTAAAGTTCAAGTATTGCTGTGAAGGAGCGGAGACGACGACCACCACACTGTCGTTTATAGCGCTGGTAAGTCTGATTCATTCTATTGAATCGGTTCAATCTAATCTTTCTCTCATGTTTATTTTTGGAAAATTCGAGTCATTCTTATTCATTCTAAACGATCCTCTTTGTATCATATGTATCTTTGGAAAATTAGATTAATACTGTTAAATCGGTCCATTCTAAACCAGGGGTGGGCTGAGTCTTGCCCACCCAATCAGACCCATTTTTTTAATGCAGTGATTAAAACCAATCTGAAACGGACTGTATTTTGAGAAGTTTAAAGGGGTCATATGATGCGATTTCAAGTTTTCCTTTCTCTTTGGAGTGTTACAAGCTCTTGGTGCATAAAGAAGATCTGTAAAGTTGCAAAGACTAAAGTCTCAAATCCAAAGAGATATTCTTTATAAAAGTTAAGAGTCAGCCACGCCTACCTAAAACGCCTCGTTCTAACACGCCCCACATATCTATGTCACTATGTGGAAATATTAGCATTATGCGCCCAAACGTGCACGCAAAGAAAGAAGGCGTGGTTTCAGTAACCGCAGTTAGTGTTGAAGCAGCATGTCAGGGAGACGCTGTGTGTTTCAGTGTGCAACCAAAAGCACTTTATTTGGCCTTCCGGAAGTAGATGCAATTAGGAATCATTGGTTAAGATTTATTTACAACAGAACAGCACAACCCAGATGTTCGAATTTGTACAACGCATTTTATGGACGACAGTTTTTTGAACCTAGAAGAGTACAAAGCTGGCTGTGCACAAAGGCTATTTCTAAAAAAAAAAAGGGTCAATTCCGACTTTGCTATGACAATCTGACGCTTCTGAATCAGCGACTGTAAGTATGTTTTGTTA